ACAAAGAGACTCCTTCGCCAAGCCATCCAAGAGATTTTCAAACAATTTTTATTTATTACTATGATGAAGATTTCTAAAAAGGGCTTCGTGGAGGGGGGAAYCATGCATCCTTTTTCTGTCAATATCTAACGATTAGACCCGCARCCCGAATGGTCGGTCTAAGATTCGGTACCATGAGGGCAAGAGATTGTAATTGTTTTAGAATAAACCTGCTGATTGGTTCAAAAATGAATATTTTGARACTAGGTTGAAATAATCTATTTCTATTGTCGTTTTGGTTTTCAAAACCGTTACTTTTCGCTACTAGTGGTTTATCACTAATAGAACACTATTAGCTCAACCAATAAGAGTGCAGGATTCGTGATAGACCAATAGTAGGTTTATACTAAACACGCATATACGTTTCATCTTTAGATCGAGTTTACTTCCATATCCATAAGAAGAGATAACTAGCTAAAAACTAGTGTRAGCTGCGTCGGTGTTTCTAAAGAAACAGTAATGATAAAAGGRTACATTTTACACCGTGAAAAGATGAAAAAAACTGACTAAAAAGTCGTAAGTAAGTTTTTTCATCTTTTCACGGTGTAAAATKTACCCTTTTATCRTTACCATATCCATAGGTTTATAAACTTTTGCGAGGKGTGGCCTTACTAGGCATGCGCAATTGGTAAAACACTTGTACTGCTGTACAAAGTTAGCATTTCTATTCGATATCATCACTACTGGTGTTAGTATTTTGTTACGACCTCAGCTTCACTACGCGTAGTGGTGATCATTAATTTCTCGTTCTTTTTACAGTCAATAAAACAAGAAATGTTTACATTTGTAAGACAAACACTCAGTCTTTACCACCTTAATAGTGCTATATTATTATATACTATGATAAGCATGATAGAATAGTAGTGGTCGGATGCTCCTATAGGTTAGATCCATGTTCCCTTTTCATAGTTCATACTCGTAACAARATACACTTGTCTGGTTAAGTTGTAGTCTTTTTGTCGTCTTGTAACGATAATATTTTCGTTCCTCGTTGGTGTCGCTGTTTCAACTGTTTTTGGGGTTGTTATTTTTCGTTGTGTTCTTAACTATATCCGTGCGAGTTGACAAGAYACGTGAAAGATTTCTCACTGTAATACGTAAGAGAAATTGCGATTAGACACAGATATCCATCCGATCCAGGGGCGTAGCGAGCGGGCTACTGCCCCCACCCCCCCCCTCTCAAATTGTGCATGTGCCGGAAAAGAGTCTAAAAATGAAACGCGTACGCGTGTGAMTCAGCGGGAAAATGGTACATTTTTTGGTACATTACACGGTTTTCCTCCATCGCGATTCGTAAAAATCAATAATGTTAAGTTGAGTGTTGTATGTTATATGTCGTATTGGAAGGTAGTGATAGTGAGTGTGGAGTGCCTCACAGAAGAGCGGCCCCAAGGGGAAGGACGGTTGTTAAATATAAACTTTATATATAAGATGAGTAATGATCTACGCATAGACAATACAGGGAGACTATATAGAGAGACTATACAGGGACTATATATCCCTGAACGTCCTCAAACTACTGTATAAGTCAAATGATACAGGGAATTCAAGCAACGTACAATAAATAATCCAAAGAGGTAATCCAAAGCATTTGCACGTCAGTTCATATAGAYSAGTGTGATAATCAGAATATTTACTKACCTGCWGCGTTTRAAGTTGTCAGCTTTGGTTTTTTGATTTGGAAATAATTGTCTCCCTCGTCGACAGGTTCTTAAGGGTAGAAAATTATAAGAAATTGACTTTGTACTGATCATTTATTGATTAGGATAATTATAGATATATCAGACCGCCGATGATGAACATGGATGGCAATGCAACAATAAAGCAACGGAAGACTAACGGGCACGCGGTCCACTATTGCGCGCAATATTGCAGGCAATCGATGYTGCGAGCCATGTTAAAGTACGCGATTTGTTACAAGCAATGTTGATRAAGTACAAAACGATCGTACTTCAGCAAGATCGCCAGGAACATGATTGCCAGTTTTTTACCATGCATCAGCAAGCGTGCACGAGGAATTAAAAGCAATCTATGTACCTGGGATGTGAATGTGAAGTCCGGGATTTAACGTATTGTGGGCTTTTGATTGATCAAAGGAATAAACAAACAAATGATAGCAATGAGTCGAATGAAGTACCATAGAAAACTACATATGGTTATCATAGGTACAGCACATTCTACATTAGTGATGATAATCTATACCCGACACTTTTTGTGAGCAATAGCTCGCGCAAGAACGGCACAATGTCAATGAACGATCATTTCAATCGCCCCCCCCCCCCCTCCCAATACGTATAATAATTTTACGTTTGGGCCAACTTTCACTAAAATACTCATACGACCAGAGAATTGGGCACTGATATTGAAAGCTGTAAAGTTTTTTTTCTTCTTATTCTTCTTAAAGAAAATGCCCYGAATACAAATGTTGAATTAATTGAGGGACTGTAACTTGACTGATAATTCACAAAAAAGATAGCCACACCAAACTGATCTAGACAAGTTTCTACTAGAGTGAAAACTGAGTAATCCATGCACTGACATGCTTACCAAGTGTATGCCCTTTAGGATGTGGATGCTTTCTAATAACTAGAATTAAAAACAAAGTGATTACGACCGACTCTTGGCTTCGTGTAACCATCCTCGTTATGGATGCTCAAAGATATATTTTCATCTCTTGGCGGATAAGAAGTTTCAAATCAAAAGGGGAGCAAAAAGAAAAAAAGGGAATTTATGGATCACTGTAATCAAGACTTCTTAGGAGTTTGAGGGAAGACAAAATATCGTATCTTGTTATTCGTCAACCGGTTGGCTCAGTTGGTTGAGCATCAGACTTTCGTGCGGGAGGTCGTGGTTCGAGTCCAGGCCGGACCAACACTCAGGGTCTTAAAATAACTGAGGAGAAAGATCTGCCTTTGTAATTACATGACTTTCAAGTGGCTGGGATGACCACTTTAAAAGGCGGTCCCGTCTCTCCACACTTCATCATTACTTACCAATATCGGAGGGACGTAAAAGAACCACTGAGGACGTGAAGAAACCCTGGCGGCAGTGACCACCCTCAGTGCCTACACCTCACCTCATACTAATTAACCATCTCTCATTCATAAATCATTGTAAAGCGCCATATTGAACATATCCATATGGAAAAGAGCGCTATATAAATATCATAATCATAATGATCATAATCATATATTCTCTGCATCATTTTTTTATCAGGAAAACTGAGGCACAGCGTACTGAATGCTAAGCACTGAATTAATAAGGACCGCATTTTCCCGACTATCTAGGTAGGCTAGCTCATTGTAGTAATGTAGATATTATTGAGAGTTATTAAGTCCGAGAAGAGATATTAAAGTACTGTACCTTTAGGGCTTTTATTCGTCAGAAAGTTCACTTCCTGTTCAGCCTGTTTTTCTAGATTCGTTAACGACTGTTTACGAGGTGCTGTTCCATCATGCCTTCCTGACGCCTGTTGTTGATTCCCTGTGTTCTCGTCCTCAATAAGCTCTAATAGGTCCGTTCCTAGATCTCCGATTTTGTTTCCCTTCTTTCTGCCAGTAACATCTGGATGCGAGTTAGACTCAGGAAACTTGTGAATAAATATCAACTTCTTTGATCCTTTAATGAAGATGCGCAATTTAATTATTAATATRTCTTCAGGGTAGCATATCATGTATAGCAGACCTTTCGCACTAAAAGGTCASGTGACTCTAATAAATACTATAATAAATATTAGTCAAATCCAACTAGTGGGTCCATCATCAGTGCTGTGTTTTGATTGGATGAGCTACTACTAGGCTATGAGTTATATCCTACTATAGCGAAAAGTGACAGCTTTGAAAACCAAAAATGATATTTAACTTTAATTMAAAACTCGTTTGCAGCTATATATTTGACCGACTAGTTGGATTTGACTAAACAGTTAGTCCTATTTCCCTCATGGCCCATGAGTAATTGCTAATTATACAAGGTTCAAATATACTCAAACCTTTCAAGCCTTTCGCTTTCGCTATTTTCAAAGTTTCCTTTTGAAGTTCTTTGATAGCATCTTCTGTTGCCTTCTTCAAGTCATCCAGTGTTTCCATYTCAGACTTCTCTGAAAGCTCAGACGAGAGTTGGGAATCCAAGTCCTCATCTAATAGACAGACGCAGAAGTATAATATCACTACTGGAATTAGGGATGTATGAAGTCAATCTTACCAGACACAGCTTACCTTCTGAGCTATCACCCTCGTATTCCGATTTCAATTTACGCAACTTTTCTCTCAGCATTTTCAATTTGTCTTTGAGGTTTTTGAGCTTCTTTTGGTGATCTCTGTTTGCTTTCAACTGGACGTCCATAGCTTTTTGAATGGCAACAGAGGAAACCTGATTTCCTTCATAATCAGCCTTTGGTTTGTCACTTGCATGAGCGTGAACAGTTTGTCCATGCAGCAGCGGTGAAAGCTGATGGTTTGCATACCCTTGTTGATCTTCTAATGATGTCTCTGGCGACTGTAAAAAGTGGATGAAAGATAAAAGTGAAGGGGAAAAAATAATAAGACGAGGAAGCGGGAGGGACGGGAGTAGGAAACGGTGAGAAAACATTTTACACCCTTCAGTATCGTTTGTTTTCTCTTTTTAACTCACTTTCAATGCGCAACTATTAAAAAATTACGACTTCAAAATAAACACTTTGGCACTTTTAATCAATGGACTACTTTGACCATACAGCGGCCATCTTGGATCACGGGGCATCATGGAGTGTCTATATAGTCGTCTGTAGTCTGTTATACTGAAGTATTTTGAAGTTTTTAATTCCTGTCTGCACTCTACCGGTATAAACCTAGTCTCCCCACAGCCGCTTTCAGTGTCGTCACGCAACGCTTTCTTCCCTGCTCAGTGCTCAGGAAAGAAAGCGTTGCGTGACGACACTGAAAGCGGCTGTGAAGGAGATTAGTACAAACCAGGCGCTTCAGAAGTTAAAATAGTGTAGATATAAATAAATGAATAACATCATCATGAAACATTATGAAAAAACGGGATTGACATGAGAGTTATAGTACAAGTGTTACACATAAGCACCTCTGAGTTTCCTTGTTCAAATACACTTGCATCAGTAGGCAGGCTTCCTAGACTTTGGCTGGATACACCGTGATCTCCTTGTCCCATTTGACCTGCCATCAGTTGACCAAGCAGTCTTTGTAATGAAGAATCAGATATACCTGTGCTGGCTATTTGACCGATCTCATTAAGATTGTTGGAGTCTATGTTGTCACCAAAGCCCCCGTAATCTAAAAGATGTCACAAATACAAGAAAATATTTGTATAGTCGTACTTTTGAATTGTGTTATCGCGTTCTGCTTTATACTTTAGAGGTACCAAAAAAGAAAGAAAAGAAGAAAGAAAACGAGCATTGTTTGATCAACAAAACTGAACGTATCGATACAAAATCAGGTAGCTTTTAGTCACTATCATTCACCGATTTCCTTGACAAAAAATTGCAATAATCCAGTACCAGCTCCTCATCATTAGTGTCTTACTTACTAGTATGACTATGACTCCCAAGATTGATTTTTCCACCAGATAAGTGACTAAGTTGATTCCCAAAGGCCTGAGCTTCAGCCAGGGTGGATTGACTTGTATATGGTGACTGCCCTCCTGTGTGATGAGTTCCCTGCTGAGACAAGTGATTGCCAAAGCGCTGACCAAAATGGTTGAGGTCTATATTATTATTATTATTATTGCTGGTAAGTATTTGATTTTGTGCGTCTGTATCGAATGACGTTGACGCACTGTTCAAAAGGTTTGCAATATTTGATATTCCATTTGGAGTGTCAAGTCCTGCACTTAAAGATTCTGCTGTGTACTTTCCACCTAAACTACTAAGATCCTTTCCATCTGAATTGTAATTGGAAGAGACAAGTGAATTCAGTCCTTTAAGGTTTGGATATGAGTTGGCATTACTTCCAGCACCATAGGAGCTAAACGCGCTTAATCCATTCACTGGACTGTTGCTCAAACCATTACTTAAGCTGTTACTGAGGCTGTTACTGAGGCTGTTACTGAGGCTGTTACTGAGGCTGTTACTGAGGCTGTTACTAAGGCTGTTACTTAGGCTGTTACTGAGGCTGTTACTGAGGCTGTTAGTTAGAGCATTTGTTAATTTTGATTCATAACCTCCGCCCATGGTATTCGATAACGCATTGGGATCTATCCCTCCATTGTTTAGACTATAGCTAGATGCTCCGTTGCCATAGCTACTCAGCCCTGCATTGTTGCTATAGCCACCTAGCCCGGCGTCGCTATAGCTACTGAGCCCGTCTGTTCCAGTAAAAGAACCGGCTAATAAATGTTGTCTTTGCTGAGTACCACCCGTCGCACTTGTTAATAGGCTGCCCCCCAGGGCGTTTRTTCCAGGTGTTCCAGTAGCATATCCGTACGCGGTGGCATCGTTTGGTGTAGCATACCCTAAAGGGTTATTACTTGCTGCCAATGATCCATAATCATAACCGGTATATCCAGTAAGACCTGTTCCTAAGCCTGCTCCAAGACCTGCTCCAAGACCTGCTCCAAGGCCTGCTCCAAGACCAGCTAATATATATTGTTTCTTTTTTCTCAGATGTCGTTTGTGTGTTTTACTGTGGTATTGGTGGTTGTTATCGTTAACATGTTTCGAAGATAGATGTTTACGCACTGAACTAGAGCTTGCTTCCGCGTGGTTTTCATTTGCTGTCAGTTTTCTTGACGGAGTTCTTATCGGKCTGAAGGAGGAAGCTATAAACAATGATTATATAAATTTAACTTTTTCCATATCTGCCATAATTATGTTATTTTTTTAATACGACGTTACATGGGATCTAGGATAGAAATAAGCAAAACAAAGTTACGCATTATGTAATATATTGAGCTTAGTGAGGCTSTCTTGCCTGGGTGTCAGAGGTCCTCTTGTAGTTTCAGTGTTCTCGGAGCGTGAGGCGGAGATTATTGCAACAGTAAGCCCCTGGTCGCAAACTGAGCAAATAATCCCTGAAGTCCATGGTATCAATAATATGGAAAATTGATATTGATATCACATAAAGTATAAACACCTGTTATTCCTTTTCTCACCTGGGAAACTACATACGCATCCCAAGAAACAAATAAAGATGGTCAGTATAATATTCATTGCAGATATGTTGTTTTCTTCACATGGCAATATCCTGACAAAAGAGAATAAACAATCAGTTAGCATATGCATTTATCAGTCATCATTCCATGTTTCGTCTCTAATAACTTTTAATACAGAGGACTATGACCCTTAGCTCTAATAGTCAAGCATAGCTAAGATTTGGCGGAAAATTAAGTAAATCCTTGCACGAAAGTAGAGGATCATGAAGTCCCCCACCAACATCTCCCAAGAATTTGTTTTTCTGTACTCTTTATTTTTTATGTTTCATATCAGGATAAAAGGCAACTCCCCCACTAATAAATGGTTCTGTCGATATAAGACTGACGTTCTTAGTCTACGCGGCTCATATTGGTGCGGAAGGTCTTTAGATTTCAAGGAGAAAAATTCTGCGCCAAAAAACGTGGTTGCTCGTTGCCATCATAGAAATGTCAGTATTAATACATAAAAGTCACAAAAGTGATTTTTGTAACAAACACTCCAAAATCACTTGAAAAATGGCAACGGGTACCTGTTTGGTAAAAGYACACGGAACTTATCTTGCATTAAATGKCASTGTACCTTGATACTGACAGATTAAKTTTGATTTTATAACAAGCACTTTATTTTCATTTGTCGTATTTTTCGCCGTGGATCGAACAATGTGAATCAAACATTTACACGTCTTGCTTAACTCACTAGCAGCGCACAACATAGGCACCTATCGTTGCTCTTATGACGGTATTCAATGAAAGCCACAAAAAGAGAGAGAGAGAGAGAGAGAGAGAGAAATAAAAGAAGAAGGAAAAAGAAGAGGGGAAGGAAAGAAAGAAAGAACTTAAACTACAGCGGATGACATTACTTTAGCTTACTCATAACGTTTAATCTTCACTGACCATCAGAAATACAGCTATATGGCAAGAAGGAAAAGGAATATGAGACATATAACAAAAGTCGACACCTTTGTCATTCTTCCGATCTTTTGATTTCAGTAAAATGCGGCTTTTGCATGTTTTGTTGAAAGTGGCAGCGAGGGTTTGACGTCATTATAAATTACCTCACAACCCCCCACACGCCGCATGATCAAAATCGCTTTTGGTGTTTATCAGTCTGATGTACGTATCCCATTCTGGCAAATGATTTGTTTGCCATCCAAGGAAAATGCCTATTGGCGGCATACATCCCTTCCCATGAGAATAACAGGCCGCCATGTTGGTTGATATGACACGACATCAAGACCATGCACTTGCCTTTTTTGCCCAAAACTATATCGATCACATGAAAACTTTTTGTTCATTATCTACATAAGTTAGCATGATGACATCTTATACCGTTGGTTCTCGGAAGGTCGGACGTGATAATGGCCGACAGTTTCAAATTTGATATTAAAATATGCACTAAATGTAACTTGGCTGATATGCATCTGTTTTGGATTTAGTGCTTTAAGGGATTTACGTTTGAAATAAAGTAGAAACTGTTCATTTAAGAACTTGTGGTTATTCTCTCAAGGCCTGCCTATGGTGATCAGGGTCAATAACTTAGCACAACAGGTTGCTCTTTTTTTTTTTTTGCCTCGTTTCCATTTTGAAATGAAACACACTGATTCTTGGTTGTGTATTTTTTCCATTTTTCAAACTCGATTTTTCTAAACATCACTCAGTTTGAATTGAATTACGTTTAGCTTGCTTGGCTTGGTTGTTATCAACCATAGTAGCGATACCTTTGGTATTATTTCACTAGGTAAGATGGAATTAGTAAAAGGCGTTTTCAGACGACTAAACATTAGTTTTCACTATCTACAGGCATCYCGTTTCGACAGAAGACAAATCAAAATTAAACGTAAACAGATAAACATATGACATGTATTCTTTACCGATATTTTTACCGAAACAATTAGAACAGGTTAGAGATAGTCAAAATACTTCTGGTGACCATTTGGTTAATGAAATAATCCAAGGCACTTCAATGATAATAAACACATCCTCGAAAACCATTTCAATYGGTATCACCCACCTTTATAGAAACATCTTTTTCTACATGACAAACGTGTAACTCGAGGTTTTCAGTTTTTCTTTTAGATTTTGTCTTGGAGATATCTACGGTTAACCGATATTTGTTACTTGCTATGCATAGTAAATATGAAAGTTAACTGGTTGTTTTGTCCTCCGTGTCACTGCATTCCATATATGGTGTGATTTGCATCTATATTAACTTATGTTTATTTAGTCTAATTACGTAAGCTCTTATAGTCAAAAGCACGATCTTACTGGAGTCTCAAGTACTCTGCTTGAAGATATCAAAGTAAAAATACTTACACTCCTTATCGACTTTTAATAATGTTGATGTTACTCTTGTATCATTGACTGATATATACATCCATAGTGTAGCACTTGTCCTTCGTGATAAGATTATTTTGAAACTGGAGCTAAAAAAGTAATCTTTTAAATCAATTGTAATAATAATAATAAAGTAATAATGATAATGATAACGATAATGATGATGATGATGATGACAACGATGATTTAAAAAAATTATACAGGGTAAACACTTCAACAACAGTTGCTGGTCGTCAATGTGTGTCCTGCTTAAAAGAAAAGAAAAAGAAAAATGTCTGCGGTATAGACCCCTTGCATGTGACGTAGCAGCTCCATGTGGGGGACAAAACRAAAGAATTCCAATCTCCTGASAATTGGAACCTATCGTTTTGTCCCCCAGATTGAGCTGATTCCAAAGTGCTGCAAGGGGTCTACAAAATATAAAAAGTGTATTAAGAAACTCCTAGCATATAACATAATACTATAAAAGGGTATGATACTAGTGATTATATGTTGTTAAAAAAAAAAAAATTCACATATTATAAGCATTTAAACGTACGTTTTTCAAAATCCCGAAACTGGTCTAAATTACGAATGTCCAGTGGAGGTTCGTTAAATTTTTTGCAGCCATGCGGGAAAAGCATTTCCGAGCATATTCTGTCTTTATATGCTTGGCAACATTGCTGAATGAGCATTGCTTCTTGTGATTTTCTTGTGTTGATGAAGAGTGAAATGGTTTTCAAGGGCGGATCCAGGGGAAGGGTCGGGGGGGTCGTGACCCCCCTGTCATTCCTGAGGTCAAATGGGCTTCCTGTGGTAAAAATGCGACTGGGATTCCTTTGCCCACAAAATTTACCCCTGAGACCCCCCCTTCAAAAAACCCTGGATCCGCCCTTGGTTTTGAAGTGCTTCCCGAGTGTCTCCATAAAGACGAATTTTTCTAATCATCAAACAAGCACGTTCACTTGTGGCCCCACAGGTGAAGGGAGAGTATCATTGATTGCGGAACCATATCTTGACTTTGGAATATTATTTTCTTTGCCCGACCTGAAACTGCGATATAGTAGCTTGTTTTCATTGAAGAATTTCATGACTTGATCCGGTCTAACTATTATATATATATCACTGTATTTACCTGCAGTAAATAACTGGCAAGCTTTTTTTGGGCTCCCTGTGTTGGAGGCACATCAAAGCGAGGCTCGTATCTTAGCCGTATCTTAGCAACAAGAAACAGAAGTGGAAAAAGAGAAACAAAATGGCGACGGCCACAGAAACAAAACCTATTCCCGTCGTAAACAACGTAATCACAGACGAAGAAGTAACGTTTGGTCATGAAAAGGTAAAGACGAACATGTTTTCTAGTGTAATGCGTAATGTACGATGTTTTCTTTAACGTGTACATATGTTTTTATCGCAGCAAACCAATGGCAAACGATATGTTCCTGTCAGTATGGCCAAGACGCACAAGCTGCTGTGTGATAAACATTCGGTACGATGCTCTACACTTACTAGTATACATTTAGGAACTTTTTCAGAACGCACTTCATTTCATAAAGTTATAAACAGTTCAKTTTATTGATTTCGTTTTGAATTTCCACATTACACAGACTGGTCTTGTTGAACGCCATCTTCGAGCTATCCACAGGCTGACCAAATATTTTAATCGTGGATTTGTATCYTTTGAACTTTTATAAACAGTTTAAGACACAGAAAGGAATGTTATCATGGTAAATTATTTCTTTCGTCCTAGTTCTTCACGATATTATTTATTACCGTAAAAAGATATATAGACCCCCTCGATGGGTTCTTGCTCTTGGAGYTAATATGTGTTGAAATATGTTTAAATTAAATTGTTTGMTGTGTTACGTTGTTCTTTAACCCTGTGATAGCTAATGAAGGATGTAGAAATGGTTTCTGATATGCTAGTGATCTGTTCTGAAAGAATCAGTGTTGATCAAATTTATGAAAAACCACTGTGTGAGCTCATCAAAATATGYGGGTGAGTTTTATGAACACAGAATACCCTTTAATAGTACATCATGAGTAAACAGTCACCGCTGTTTAATCGAGACAACAGTAGTATTGCAACATGGAAATTGTACAATACACTGCCAAAAATCTTATATTTTTCAACCAT